TATAACCCAGCACTCAATAGGCCAGGGCAGGAGGTTTGCAAATTTAAGGTTAAACCTTGGCTACCTAGCCAAGACCCTAACTGAAGAAAAAAAGAAAAAAGCAAAAATTTTCCCATGGGTATTTATAGATAAGAGTCACATTTATTTTTATTTATTTAATAATTCAAAGTATAAAAGTATTTCAAGAAAGTATACCTGTCGGAAAATAACCTAATAAGCACATCCAGTAGTTCAGATATGCATAGTAGATATTCCTACATTCCTTAAATGACTAAAACTAACTTCCTATGGTATTTCTCAAATACCAGAAATAAAATTTCTGCCTCAAAATTTGTTTTCTCATTTTATGATTCATGAAACTGTCAGTTTTTGTACTTCGAAGTTAGCATGACTCAATACTATGGAGCACAGAAAAGCACACATAGCTTTTCCATCAACAGTTTTGCCAGCTCTTGCATTTTCTATGAAAACTATAAAACAATACATTTGGGATACACTTTTAAAAACAGTAAATTTTCATTTTCTATATTGACTTATTTGGAATATGTGCAGGTAAAAAGAAGAATGATTTCAGTCATGTATTTGTAAAGCCATATAAACTTTTATCCTCCCTCAAACAAACCCAAACTCCCCATATACATTCTTGAAAAGGGAAGAAGGCTAATTTTGTTTACTAATAGAGCTGCACCCAATAACTCTCCCAGGCAATCATGTTGACAACAAACAATAAAGAACTTGTCATAAAATAGCATGTTTTTATGGTACCCTGCCAGGAAATTGAGCTTTGCAGGGGGACAAATGGCACTATCCTAAAATATGGGGACAAAAGAGAATAGGAAATAGGGGATTTATTGCTTTAAAAGCAAAACTAACAAACTTACAGCAGTACATTGGGAAAAAATATAAAATGCTCTGAGCCCTCCAAATAACCATGAATGGTGAGAAGGTGTTTGGGTTGCAGACCACATGAACAGCTGCATTACAAACCTTATGAAAACTTCTTGAAATTGGCTTCCTTTTCCAATCAAGGAAAAAGAAAAGGATGAAAGGTAGTATGGGCAGGGAAAAGTACAAACGTGCATAACATAAGTGTATCTTTTAGCATTAGTGACCTATCAAATTTGCTTTAGCATTTTTATTCTGAAGTTGTTAAGGCTAACTTTTAATAATTGATAATACCTACAGAAAAGACATTTTCCTTTGGATTTATTTATTAAAGAAAAGTCATCATTGGCCCTGAAAGAAGTATTCAATGAATGAAAAGTGTGGAAGAGTAGAATGAATCCAATTGCATGAAGAAAAATTGAGAAACACACTATTTCTTACTGTTCTCATGCTATTTTCTTCATGTTATTTCATTTCAATTTAAAAGTTCTTACAATATTGAATTGTTTTCTACATCCAAATGAAGAGAAGGGTGACCTATTAGTAGAGTTCTTCCACCGCTCAGAATATGTGCCTATCACTTCCCATCGCCCTCTAAGAACTCTAAAGGACAGGTAGTCATTGTTGATCTTCAGTAATTCCAACAACTTCAGATTTTAGCCAAATTGATGAGTAATCCAAGATGATAGGCTAAACATAAAAACAAAGGTCTACAGACAACTCATGTACATTTTGTCTATGGGCTTGGATTTGACCACCTTTGGTTTTAAAAAGCGTGTGGGGATACAAACAAAGCTTGCAAGAGAAGAACTGATACATGTGAGAACTCCTAAGTGTGAGTCCATCTACCTGGAATTCCATTCCTTATCTTTTCCTGAAAAGCTCTTATTCACTCCCAGAATTCCTCTCAGACATCATCTCCTTTAGGAAGCATCCTTGACCCCCAATCTCATACCCTGCCCCTCACCCAACTTCACTGCTGCCATGGCAATTTCACTATCATGGTCCTTATCTTCTTTATTGCTCCTCATCCTCCATAGACTTATGAAGACAACATCTGTCTTTCCTTGACTCTGTACACCTAGTGTACAAGCATGCAATGAAAGCTTACTAAATGAATAAAACAAACAGGATTAATGTCTAAAGACATGTTTTATACTGTACAATCTTCCTGTTTGTCTTGAAAAGTGAATTCTTAAAAATCTACACAAATCACAAATGCCTTCCTAAATAAGAATGATGAGATGCTTTATAAAGAAAGATGTGTGGTTGTTGTATATTACCTTTTCCCAAAGGAAAAAACGATTGGCATAAAATAAAATAAGTTAGATTAAAAATTTTATGCCTAACCAGGCCCAGCGACTTGCTTGAAAAGCATTTTGAAAATTTCAAATTGATATATGAAATGTACTAATGAGTTTTTAAAGCACACATGGTTTCTCCTACATAATTTTCTTTATCTTGGTCTTATCAGGATGAAGGTTGAGGAATACATTTTAGTGATAAGTTTGAGTTTGACACTGTGACTTCCAGTCTTTGAATGTAGGCAGGATTTCAGAGCAGGGGTGAGGGGAAGCTTGTAATATCTCTCTCTCTCTCTCTCTCTCTCTCTCTCTCTCTCTCTCTCTCGGCAACACTAAGGTTTGTTTGTTTTGTTTTGTTTTGTTTTGTTTTGTTTTGTTTTAAGTCAGGGCCTTACACTCAAGTGAGAAGATAAAGGTAGGTTCTCTACCACTTGAGCCACTCCAACAGCTCTGGTTCGTAATCTTGATCTAATTTAGTTATTATTGTCACTACCACTACCACCACCATCTGATACGGAACTTTAACGAGCCGTTGGGCAAGTCTTTATGTTTCCTGATGGCAGGGGTATGTGTCAGAATGCATTCTGAAGGGAAAAAATTTTTACATGCCTACTTGAAATACTTTTAATATTGGCTACACTACAGTGATTTAGGAAAACTCCATGGAGACCAGAAGCATAACCAGCTTCCAGATTCCTAGAAGTGTTGCTGCACATAGTAGAGGAAAATAGAGGATAACGGGTACAAACTGGTCTCCACTGTGATGAGATGAAACCTGTCAGAAAATCTACAATCAACTATGACAGTCTTGGTAAGACTACACTAATAACGTAACACTGAGATTGTAAGTGACCTCTCTGGAAATCAGACGATTTAATAACATTTTTAAAAGCACCTAGAATTATAAACACTTGAGGTGATTTTTTAAGATCAGTAAGTCAAAATTTTAAATACTTGATTGATATTCATCCCAATGAGAAGGTAACCTAAAGTTTCTTCCCCATTGCCATGGTCCAGAAACAACACAAGTATTACAGAAGTTTGGGGTTGTCTGAAAACCTGTCCAGTGTCATCGCAAAGGTCTTGCTGTTCAAGATTTCAAGACGGCACAACAGTGATCCCATCAGCTTCCTAACCCAGGCACTTGAGATGTGATAACCCATTAGATGAAAAAAATACATTCTCAAGAGTCCACATGCCAGAGCGGTAATGTGGCAGTTACAAATTATTTCCTGCCCATCACAGAATATAGAAATTTCACACTACCTTTCACACCAATCACAATTCTTCCCTTAAAAACAAGTTATTTGAACAATTCCATTACTGAGATTCCTGATAACTATTTTTTTGCAGAATTGTGCAGAAACAATTCAAAATCATCATAACACCCTTGTCATCCTCCATGATGTGGGCTTTGTGACTAGAATTTAACAGCTCTGTAGCAGTGTGAGAGAGAGAAAGGGAGAGACATTATCATCAATGATTTATTTATATTGAGTACGAACTTTTTCAGTGTCCCCAAAAGAACTTGCCCTCTAAGGTTATATTTTTAAAATTCCTCTCATAATATTATAAAATATCCTTTTAAAGGATTGCTCAGAGAAAACAATTCAAATGATATAACTATAAGGTAGTAGGTGGCACAATTGTGTTACTGTATGATTCCTTATATTTACATTAATTGGCCTCTGTAAAACCATGAACAGAGATTTAAAATCCTTTACTTCTATAATGCCATGAAAGACCAACTTCTAAATATATTTGCCATATCATCTTCATGATTTTCATTATTGTTGATTAGATACCAGGTGACTTCCTAACTTCATCTCTCACCACTCTGAAGTTCATCTCCCTCATCCACCTCTCACATGTACACACAGTTTTGTATTTATATAAATACATAAAATATATTTATTTATTATATATATATATATATATATATATATATATATATATACACATACATATACACATATCGTCCAAATAAGCTATTCCCTAGACTTTTGAATGTGGCCTACTTATTCTGGACTCTATTTCTGTTAATGGTCTTTCCCTCAGCTGGATTTGACAATTCTGGTTCAAAATTCATTGCTTCCAAGATCCATGGACTTCTCAGCACATTAGATTCATAATCCATATTTAACCTTACTTTGAATATTCTCATTAAATAAATACACACAAAAAATATCACACTACTGTGAGCTTCTTTCTAAGTTGCCTCAGAAGGATTCTGGGAGTTCCAGGTGGGCTTCTAACACTTTCCCATGTAGCCTTAAGCTAGTTTATGATTATCTGCTTAACTACGTGGACTTCCCCATTCCATAAGGCAATGCTACCCTCAAAATTGGTGCTGAAGCTCCTGGTATAACCATCATAAACAAGCAAGAATGTCTTTTTTTAAAAAAAATGAAGGACAGGAAGATAAAACAAGTCCTGTCCAAAGACTGGTAGCAGTGGGAGGGGAGAGCATAAGAAACGGGTGAAGGAGGGTGAACTTGGTGAAGTATGTAAGTATGAAAATAGAACAATGAGACCTCCTGAAACTGTTCCAAGAAGGGGTGAGTGTGGAAGGGGATAAAAGAGAAACATGGAAGGGGTGAAACTACGATATATTGTAAGTACTTTTGTAAACGTTACAATGTACTCCTGGTACAACTATAATATGCTAATATGTTTTTAAATATTGGCACTGAAGGTTTTTTGAATAAGTAAGTAACTATTGTGTAAGACATCCTAACTAAGATGTCTGAAGTTTTGAGTTTTAGCCATCTGGCTTTGTTCTCTCTACAGTGCATGTGATTTTATACTTACTGGAACAGAAACTTGAGAATTATCTTCAAGTTTTCCCAGCACAGCAAAGCCATCCACATCAATTTGGCCTCTTGGCTTTATAGGTAAGGATTCAATCTTGATGCAGTCAATGAAAAGAGTAGCACTGGTCTTTTCCACACCAATCATGATCTTATGCCACCGGGAATCAAACAAGGAAGGCAAGTTTGAAAAGGCTGCAGTTTGGAGACTTCCATCCAGCCCCTTGTATGAAAATGCAACGGATTTTGTTTGGCCGTTAATCTTCACGCCAACTTGCTCCCTCCCGGAGGAGTCCTGAATCTGCCAGATGCTCCAGCTCTTTTCAAGTGTGCTTCCTGTCATCCGGAACGTAGTTAAGAAGGAATATTCTTGGGGCAGTCCACTGGGATATAAATGCCTGAGTAAAATTCAGAAATAGTAAATATAAATCTTGTTTCTATACTCATACATATTTACCATTTCCCCTTTTCATGATTTTTTTAAGATTCTAGATGTGCAGAAAAAAAAAAACTCGCAGGATTTGTTCTTTCATGACAGTGCATAAAGACCTTCGCAGACATTCAATCACTCATGCACCTTAATGCTCCATCTTAAAATACACATTTTTAAAAACCCCTCCCTCATAGCTAAGGAAGGTTGCCAGTGCCACATATTCCCAACAATATTACTATTTATGCTACCCAAAGAGCTACCATTCAGCAATTCTGTAGCAGTCAAAAAAACCACATTCTTGCAAAGTCCTTGGCAACATTTCTTTTACAAGTGAGAGAAGGGATCATGTGGAACCCAAATCAGCTCTACTGCTTGAAACTATTTAATTAAAGTAGAACTTAATTTTTTATTCTATGCAACATATTAAGATTGTTTGTTATGTCCATAATTGCAGGGGTATTTTCCTTTACAATTATGTTTTTGTACCCCACATAAGCATTTTGAGATTCAGTAACTATGCATGTTATTTACAAGTTTCATCAGACTGAGGATGTTTGTATTTTTCAGGGAGTTAAAAGTATGGTGTTTAAGTAGCAGCTGGTTGTTTGTCACTGGATGTGTGACAAGTGAAAGGCGACTAATTCTTATTTCTCTACTCCAACCCAATTTTTCCTCAACCAACCAACTAACACTGTGTTATTGCTACTTCCTGTGTACTTTAAATGGCAGCAAAAAACAGGTAGTATCACTCAGGCATCTCCAGTATGTCTGGCTACCATAGATGTCTACCTGAACTTTCTGCTGAAGTGAGGCTACTAAGAGCTGAAGACTTTAAAACTCAGGGAGTATTAAATATAAACATCATCTTTTAAGGACTTGAAAGTTAGCTACCTTTCTTCTAAGCATAGAAAAAAATCCTAAGCAGGGAAGAAATGCTGGAAAACTAAACACCAATGAATTTTGTTTACTTGATATAAGATTTAACATTTCTGAAAACATTTATGAACTAGGACCCAGAATTCCAAATAACACTTCCTTTAGTTCAAACTCTTGTTATGTAGCTTCCTTCTTGTGAAGAGTAAAGAAGAGAAAGAAAGACCTCAATGGATACTGATTTCATTTTTACAAACATGCAAGGTTTTTATAATAGCATGTGTGCTGCTGCTATTACAAAAGCTATTAAAAATTAGGGGGGAGAAAAGAGAGTGGTTAAGAAAGAGAAATATTGGATTAAGAAAATGTAGTATTTATATAGAATGGGATTTTACTCATCCACAAAAAAGAATGAAATTTTATTATTTTCAGGTAAATGAATGGAACTGGAGAACATCGTCTTAAGTGAAGTTAGCCAGTTTAGAAGGCCAAAGGCCACACGTTTTCTCTCATATGTAGAATATAGAACTCTTACAAATATAAGCAATATTGTGAAAAACAGTTCACATCAAGGGGAGATCACGGACAAGAGGGGAGGGTAAAAGAAGGATGTTAAGAAGGTGAATATGGTTGATGTACTCTCAAGAATGAGTGTAGAATTTTTAAACCTGTTGAAATCACCATAAGAAAGGAACTAAGGTAGAAAGAAGAAAAATAGAAGAGATGAGCCAATTCAAGCTATAATACATATATACATGGAAGTGCCACAAGGAAACTCCCTGTGTAGCTATCTTAAACAAGCAAAAATGTCAGTTTTTATTCTTTTACAAAATTGGAGAAGAAGAGGGAAGAACAGGTCCTGCATGGGGGGTTTATACCAGTGTGTGAGGGGGAAGTGGGGAAAGGGTATGGGAGGGTGAATAATGGTGCAGATGCTGTGTACATGTATAAAAATGGAAAAGTGAGACCTGTTGAAACTATTCCAGGAATGGGGAGGGGGAGGGTAAAGAAGTATAGTAGAGGGGGTGAATTCAAGTATGACATCTTTGATACATTGTAAAAACTTTTGTAAATGCCACAATGTACCCCCACTCAGTACCACAATAAATAAAAAAGAAAGAGAAATATAGACAGGGTGAATCTGTTCAAAATATATACATGTTGTAAATATCACAATGAAATCCCTTTCTACAATTAATTTATGCTAAAATTTTTTAAAATTCTACACTAGAAAATTCCTTAGTTTCAAGGATATTTAGCAATAAATGAAACTACTTAGTATGTTAGGATTTTTATCTTTACTTTGGATTTAACTATAAAACTTTATCATATGATTTCATTTAAAACTTTTAATTTTTTCTGCAAATTTTTTTCATTTATTCATATGTGCATACAATGTTTGGGCCATTTCTTCTCCCTACCCTCTCCCCCTCCCTCTCCTCCCACCCCTTCCCTCTCCCCCCCACTACCTTGCTTCCAGGCAGAATCTGTTCTGCCCTTATCTCTAATTTTGTTGGAGAGAAAGTATAAACAATAATAAGGAAGACAAAGCATTTTTGCCAGTTGAGATAAGGATAGCTATACAGAGAGATTCCTCGCATTGCTTCCATGTACAAATGTGTTACATTCTAAGTTGATTCTTCTCGAACTGACCTTTTCTCTAGTTCTTGATCCCCTTCTCCTATTGACCTCTGTCACTTTAAAGTTTCTGCATTAGTTCCTTTGCATTGAGGACATCAAACACTATCATGTTTTTTTGGTTTCTTACCTATCCTCATACCTCCCATGTGTGCTCTCACCTTATCATGCGATCAAAGTCCAACCACATTGCTGTATTTGCCCTAGATCTAAAGTTTGTATATGAGGGAGAACATGATTTTTGGTCTTCTGAGCCTGGCTAACCTTGCTAAGAATGATGTTCTCCAGTTCCATCCATTTACTTGCGAATGATAAGATTTCATTCTTCTTCGTGGCTTAGTAGAATTCCACTGTGTATAAATACCACATTTTCTTAATCCATTCATCAGTAGTAGGGCATCTTGACTGTTTCCATAACTTGGCTATTCACAATGTGAATAGTGCTGCAATATAATGGGTGTGCAGGTGCCTCTGGAGTAACCTGTGTCACATTCCTTTGGGTATATCCCCAGGAGTGGGATTACTGGATCATATGGCAGATCTATGTTTAGATTTTTAAGAAGCTTCCAAATGTTTTTCCAGAGTGGTTGTACTAGTTTGCATTCCCACCAGCAGTGTATGAGGGTTCCTTTTTCCCCACATCCTCACCAACACCTGTTGTTGGTGGTGTTTTTGATGATGGCTATTCTAACAGGGGTGAGACGGAATCTTAGTGTGCTTTTGATTTGCATTTCTTTTATGGCCAGAGATGGTGAGCATGTTTTCAAATGGTTTTTGGCCATTTGAGTTTCTTCTTTTGAGAAAGTTCTGTTTAGTTCAGTTGCCCATTTCTTTATTGGTTCATTAATTTTAGGAGAGTTTAGTTTTTTGAGTTCTCTGTATGTTCTGGTTATCAGAACTTTGATGTATAGCTGGAAAATATTTTCTCCCACTCTGTGGGTGGTCTGTTCAGTTTAGAAACCATTTCTTTTGTTGGGCAGAAGCTTTTTAATTTTATGAACCCCCATTTGTCCATCCTTTCTCTTAGTTGCTGGGCTGCTGGGGTTGTATTGAGAAAGTCCTTTCCTATACCTATTATTTCCAGAGTGTTTCCTGCTCTTTCCTGTACCAACTTTAGAGTTTGGGGTCTGATATTTAAGTCCTTGATCCATTTTGAGTTGATACTAGTACAGGGTGATAAACATGGATCTAGTTTCAGTTTTTTCTGCAAATATTTTTTAAAACCATCAATAAGATGTGTCAACTATCTCAAAAAGATTTCATTGTTTTGTCCAAGGTAAACATGAGAAACTATTCATGTGAGTAGCTTAACACCTAAGTACTCCTTTAATTCATTATTTTCTTTTTCTTTCTTTTTTTTTTTGGTGGGACTGGAGTTTGAACTTGGATTCACACCTGCGAAGCAGGCACTCTACTGTTTGAGCCACACCTCCAGTCCTATTATTTTTCTCATATGACTGTTTTGTGCTTATAGCACTGGATGAAATACTTTATCAGTCCACACTTTTTAACAATCATGGGTAATTGTGCTGCTCTTACTGCAAAGTTTTCAATTCATTAAATATCTTTTATGTATGTCAAGTGTACAAGAGGTTTTAGCCTGTACATTTAAAAATATTCAGTTTGGAGGCCAGGTATGTGGCTCAAGCCCATAATCCTAGCCACTTAGGAGGCTGAGACTGACAGCATTGCATTTTGAGGCCAGCCCAGGCAAAAAGTTTGCAAGCCCCCTTCACCAGTAGCTGCGTGTGGTGGTCCACACCTGTTATCTCAGCTGTGTGGGGAAGCACAAATAAGAGGATCACTGTCCAGTACTGTCTAGACAAAAAGCAAGACTCTATCTCAAAAAATAAAAGACAAAAATAATAACAGCAAAAAAATAAAGGACCAAAGGTGTTGTTCAAGTGGTAGAGCACCTGCCTAGCAAGAATGAAGCCCTGAGTTCAAACCTTAGTACCACAAAAAACCTAGACTAATATAGTATGTCAATATATTAAGAAAAGAAAATTCATTTTATTGCTCATATTAATAAAATATATACATATTTGTATTTGCTTAAGATCATTTAAAAGCCTTTCAAATTTAATATCAGTCAGCCCATTGTCTTTTTTGAACACCTGAGATTCTATTCTTACAAATACATTATGCATATCAATAAATAAACCTGACATCATACATAATTTAAAAGAAGCTGTGTCTAGAAATGATTTATTTATTATATAATCTTCATGGAATACATTGAATGGAAAACCACACAGATTTGAATAAAAGATTCAAAAATAGTCTTTGGGTCTTGAAATATTTGTGGTTTTAATCTAAACAAAGCTAAGGTGTGTGACTTCAAGACAAACAAACATGTTTATAAGTGGGAGTTGAGAATACGAAGCTATAATGCATAAAATAAAAGATAAAAAGCAGCAAAAAATTACATCTTCTGGTTTTTAAGAAAAATAA